ATCCGAAATAATGATTTTAAGCTATAGTAGTTAGCATGCATTCGCATTAGACCCGCCGAAATATCGTACCTTCTCCCAAGCTGGGTCGGTATTCAACTTGTAAGCAATCCAGTAGCGAAGAGATGCAGCGAGAATGTCCATGAACGGCGTTCCTGGAGTAATGACATTGCTATCCCATGTTTTCTTGACAACCTCTTCCTGTATCTCTTCGTCCACTTTGTTGCCGTTCTGTTTAGCGAGCATCTTGCGAAACTCCTCCTTCTTTTCATCCGCCTCTTTCGCCTCTTGGGCCGATCGGAATCGACGTGCTCGTTGCTGGTTCATCTTGGCTCGCGGCGCGACACCATCTGTAGGAGTGACAGAAGTTAGTCGAAAATCAAAGAGAATCAGAAAGGCCTGGTCACATACCAACAGCGATCATCAGAAGTTTCCTCGGACGGACCATGTTCACCACACGGTCAGTGTACTTGAAGATTTCCACCATCATCTCCTGCTCATTCGCCGGTGGCGGCTTGCCCTCAGGATGGGTACATGGATGGACGATACCATTCATGTCCAAGTAGAGATTATCCATCTCCTCCCCATTGGGGTTTGGTTTAGTAGTGTCAACGGGAACTTCTTCGCCGTTGACTTCGTAGGGCAACTCTTCAATGACCGAGGAGATGATCTTGGGGTATTTGTTGGAGAGCCATCGAAACAATGCCGGAACACCCATGATGGCGAGAGTGAATTATGGCTATGAATGAGATCAAATGTAAATTTATGATGTAGAAATGATCAGATTCATGAATCGCTGCTCCGCTCTATCAGCTGCCTCGACACTAGCCTCTCCTTGTCGCAGATCTGTAACGACCGGGACAATATGTAGCTTTATCCTCGTTTAAAGACGTCGCATCAAGATCAGGCGTCCAACATCTGATACTAGTACAGTATGCGAAGACAAAACCCTAGCAAATCGTGCATCAGTGAAAGGACGGTTGTCTGAAAGTCTCTGCGATAAGATGAAGGCGGGATTTCGGCGCTTTTCTTGTCGCGGTTCCGGCGTTTAGCGGCCCCTTGGCATTGATTGTTCGAGCCACTAGACAGCTGTTATCCCAGAATAACATCAGTATTGCGGTGATGACCACACAATTGAAATTGTGAATCTTATTTTGTCGGACTATTCAATGCCTAAATACTGCTACGCCCTCGGTCGGCGGTGACCATGATACTACGATCAATTCGTGGCGATGTTCCGAATCCTCGAATCACAGGCGCCGGCCAAACAAACGGCAACGGACACAATCAACACTCTGAGCAGTAGACTGCAAAGTGCGACTTTACTGGAGGATCGACGCGCGGCCATACAAGGACTGAGGAGCTTCTCAAAGCTTTATCCAGCCTCTGTTGCATCTGGAGCGCTACGACCATTGATCAACAGCCTAAGAAATGACCGAGAAGATGTGGACACGATCAAGGTGGTCTTGGAGACCTTGTTGATGCTATTCTCCCCAGATGAGAGCAGTGTGCGTTGATTGTCTTCATCCGTTGATAGAACTTGCTGATAGGTAGCTCACAGCCCGAAGCGTCTGATGAGATAGCTCTGTGGCTTGCGGATGAGTTCACTCAGGTATTTACCGGCTACATGGTACGAAGGTTATGTGTAGCTAATGAGGCGAAAGCGACAAGACAATATCACCGCACTTCTCGATCTCCTCGATACGCGGGACTTCTACTCCCGCCTGTATTCGCTGCAGCTGATGTTCCAGATCTCAAGTGCCCGCCCAGAAAGGACACAGGAATGTATACTAACTGCGCCGCTGGGTATCCCCAGGCTTGTTGGTGCCCTGGGGGATAGCAGAGAACCAATACGTAATGGTAAGCTACACCGAAATTGGACTTTTTATAATGCTCGAGTGATTGACCGTGCTTGCCTGCGTTTTACAGAAGCACTACTTTTACTCATTGCCTTGACACCTGCCTCGGAAGAATTTCAGAAACTCGTTGCCTTCGAAAATGCCTTTGACGTCGTATTGTCCCTCATCGAGAATGAGGGTGGTTTGACGCATGGATTAGAGGTCGTGGAGGACTGTCTGTCTTTGCTGGCCAATCTTCTACGCCTCAATATATCAAACCAGTCATACTTCCGAGAGACCGGCTGCGTGAAGAGATTGGCAAAACTCCTAGCCGATGTCAACAAAGACGAGGATCCAACTGAGGACGTTCCCCAATGGACGCATGCTCAGCGCGATAAGAATATCTGGGGCTTACTAGTTATCATCCAGCTGTTCCTCGTTAAGGGCGGGATCAACACTCCTGCCAATCAGCTGGCTTTCTGGAACAATGGTGTGATGGAGCAAATATTGAGCGCGGCCTTTGGCCAGAAATTCAATGTCAACGTGACATCCAAGGTTTGTGCCTTTGAGGTTTCCAGGTACGACTCATCGATTGACCTCTGTAGGCGTTGGCTACATGCGCCGATTTGATCCGCGGAAATTCGTCCCTGCAGGAGAGATTCGGGGACATTGAGGTCTTCTGGGGCCGACAGCCTAGTCAAGACGGCATTGTTAATGGGGATAAAGTCGCCAACGGTGTTCTGCGCGTCAACGTCATCGAAGCATTGCTTAAACTGAGCCTTGAACCCGCACCAATACAGGTACTTGATGCCCGGCTGGCCGCAAGCGAGTGTATCAAGGCATTCTTTGCAAATCATCCGGGAATTCGCGTCCACGTGTTGCGGAGAGCGATTGATGGACACCTCAGCGGGCAGGATCAAATCCCGAATATCATGACTGTTCTGCTCGTCCCGCCGGATGCTCGAGGAAATTCCGATCCTTATCAAGTGTGGATTGCATCTGTCTTAATGTTCCACTTGCTGTTTGATAATGCCGAGGCAAAAGCGATAGCCATGCAAGTGACCGAGGGCGACGCTGAAAGCGGCGAAGAAGTAATCACCTGCATCCAAACAATTCTGGGAAACCTAATTACAGGAATGAAAAGGGGCGATGACGAGAGAATCACGGTAGGCTATTTGATGTTGCTGTCCGGGTGGCTCTTCGAAGAGCCAGATGCTGTCAATGATTTTCTTGGAGAGGGCAGCAGCGTTCAAAGCTTATTGCAAGAAACTAAGCATCGGGGTGTCTCCAACGTAATCGTGCCTGGCCTGACCACGATCTTACTCGGAATCATCTACGAGTTTTCCACGAAGGACTCGCCTATTCCTCGGGCTACGTTGCACAAGTTACTGCTTGAGCAGCTAGGCAGAGAGCAGTATATTGACAAGATCACTCGCTTCAGAGAATCGCCCATGGTCCGGGACTTCGAGGTCTTGCCGCAGACGGTGGGAGGACAATTTGACACGGGACTACCTGATATTTTCTTTGACAGGATGTTCATTGAATTCCTTAAAGATAACTTCAGCCGGTTGATTCGGGCTATTGATCGCGAACCCGGGCTTGAGATATCGGTCATCACAAATGGCATTCAGCGGGGAGTTTCGCGAGAACTGGTCGATTCGCTCAGGGCTGAGCTCGAAGAACGAAGCCAAGCTGTGCAGAAGCTCGAATCTGACTTACTCAATTTGCGAAACCAACTTGAGCAAGAGCAGCTCGAACACAGAAAGTCCAAGGACCTGAGCAGCTCTGAGGCTTCCAAAATACGGCAGATTAATGAATCATTGCAACGAACTCATGAACAAGAATTGGCGAGGTTGGAAGAACAACACAAACATGCAAACAACGCATTGCTGAAACAGCATGGTGATCAACTTCGAGCTATCGACAACCAGCTCAAGGAAACCTCCGCAGAATACGAGAGGAGAAGCCAGAAAGTCAAGAAGTTGCACGATGCCGAAGTCGCTGATCTTCAAAAGAAACTTCAGTCGCTAGAATTGGAGCTTACCCGCGTCAGGGAACAAAGTGCAGGCGAAATTGGCACCTTACAATCGACGATTCAAACGTTGAGATCCGAAGCAGACCAAAGCAAAGGACAACATTGGGCCCAGGTAGCAGACCTTGAAAGCACAATCCAAAGTCTGCGCTCAGAATTAGACGAAAACAAGGCGAAGCATGCCGACCAGGTCTCTAACCTCAGCGACACGATTCAGAGGCTACAGTCTGGACTTGACAAAGCCAAAGAAGGACACGAGTCTGAGCTTGCTGACCTTAGAGCGAAGGCTCATACCTTACAGTCCGAACTTGACACAGCCAGACAGGAATATGAAACTGAACTTAGTGGCCTTAGAGTCAAGGTTCAGACATTACAGTCAGAACTCGACTCTGGTACGGAAAAGTCCAAGAAAGAACTCCAGGCTGTTCACGATGACTACTCATCTAAACTGTCAGAGCTGGAAAAGCGGGTCAAGCAGGCTGAGAGCAAGGCAGAAAAAGCCGAAGCAGATGCACTCAGATCTGCTGAAACAGTCAAGGAGGTCCAGGCACAACTTGAAAAGACCAAGGCTGAAGTTGAGGAGAAGGAGGAAGCTCGCAAAGCAGCGCAGTCCGAACTCGAAGATCTCCTGATAGTGTTTGGGGATTTGGAAGCGAAGAGAAATCAAGATAAGGTGAGTCACCAGCTACTTGAATTCGGACCAATCACTAAGTAGTCACCTTCCCAGAAACGTCTCAAAGATCTTGGACAGGACGTGTCTGAGGCCGAAGATGATGATGAAGAGGAGGAGGAGGTCGAGGAGGAAGAATGAGGTTCGTAGTGTCCATACAGGATGTACTGCAATCCATGCGAGCTAGCTTTCAACTCATCATGTAAAAACAACTAGATACCATCCGCCAGCATATATTGCCATTGGGTAGCGATATTCTAGCCTGCCCTGTGTTGTCTCTCTGTAATAATAATGCTTAAGGGCGGTAGGGCAAGAAGCCTTGGCAGAAAATCGGCTCGTGGGGCGTGAGTCATTGCCGCCCTACCATTTATTATCTTTTTTTATCTACCCCGCGACCCATCCCTCGCTCCCGGCCACAGATCGCACCGAGAGCCATTACTTGACGACTGTCCCCTCGCCCGTCATGTCCATTGATTTCCCGGCTGAGGAAGAGATCACCCTCAAGAGGTGGAGGGAGATCAACGCCTTCGGGAGGCAAGTCGAGCTATCCCGTGGTCGCAAGCCCTACACTTTCTACGATGGCCCTCCATTCGCGACGGGCCTTCCTCACTATGGTCATTTGCTCGCCTCGACTATCAAGGATATTATCCCTCGATACTGGTCGATGAAGGGTCACTATGTCGAGAGACGGTTCGGTTGGGATACACACGGTGTCCCCATTGAGTACGAAATCGACAAGAAACTCGGCATGTCAGGCTTGGAGGCCGTTGAAAAACTCGGCATTGAAAAGTACAATGAGGAGTGCAGAGCTATTGTCATGAGATTCGCGTCTGAATGGCGCGAGACCATTGAGAGACTCGGCCGCTGGATTGACTTTGACAACGACTACAAGGTACCTTATCCCGCTGATGCTGGTGCGAATACATATCGCCTCAATTTATACTGACGAGATTAGACCATGAATGCCAGTTTCATGGAATCGGTATGGTGGGTTTTCAAGCAGTTGTTTGACAAAGGACTCGTCTACCGTGGGTACCGTGTCATGCCTTACTCGACCGCACTCAATACCCCCTTGAGTAACTTCGAAGCGCAACAAAACTACAAAGATGTGCAGGACCCTGCAGTAGTTGTTTCATTTCCTCTGGTAGATGACCCGGAGACCTGTCTTCTCGCATGGACGACCACGCCCTGGACCCTGCCTTCTAACGTCGCCCTCGCCGTCAACCCTGGTTTCGAGTACATTAAGATTTTCGATGAAGCCTCTAAGAAGCACTACATCCTTCTCGAATCCCTCCTTCGCACGCTCTATAAGGACCCAAAGAAGGCCAAGTTTAAGATTGTGGATCGTTTCAAGGGTGTGGACATGAAGAACTGGAAATACCGGCCACTCTTCGATTATTTCTACGAGGAGTTCAAGGAGTACGGTTTCCGTGTGCTAAGTGGAGAGTACGTCTCCGCTGAGGATGGTACCGGTATCGTCCATCAGTCGCCGGCCTTTGGTGAGGAGGATTACAACGTTGCTATGGAAAGTGGTGTTATCAGCGAAACACGTCTGCCGCCCAATCCTGTCGATGAGACGGGCTGCTTCACCGCAGAAGTTCGTGATTTTGTTGGTCAGCATGTCAAGGCTGCCGATAAGGCCATCATCAAGCATCTCAAAGGCATCGGCCGTCTGATCGTCGACAGCCAGATTACTCACAGCTATCCCTTCTGCTGGCGTTCTGATACTCCTCTTATCTACCGCGCTGTGCCCTCGTGGTTTGTCAAGATCGGCCCCATCATTCCCCAAATGCTTCAGGGTATTGAGGACTCGCACTGGGTGCCTTCTTTTGTCAAAGAGAGGCGTTTCGCCAGCTGGATTCAGAATGCTCGGGATTGGAACATTTCAAGAAACCGCTTCTGGGGAACACCGCTTCCATTGTGGGTCAGCGACGACTTCAAGGAAGTTGTGGCTGTAGGAAGTGTCGAGGAGCTCAAACAGCTGAGTGGCTACGAAGGAGAAATCACTGACCTTCATCGTGACAAGGTTGACAAGATCACTATCCCGAGTAAGCAGGGCAAGGGTGTCCTGCGACGTGTCAGCGAGGTGTTTGACTGCTGGTTCGAATCGGGTAGCATGCCATACGCATCCCAGCATTATCCCTTTGAGAACAAGGAGCAATTCGAGAAGAGCTTCCCCGGTGATTTCATCGCCGAGGGTCTCGACCAGACGCGTGGTTGGTTCTACACTTTGACCGTACTGGGAACACATCTCTTCGGCACCCTGCCCTTCAAGAACTGCGTTGTGAACGGGATTGTTCTTGCCGAGGATGGAAAGAAGATGTCGAAGAGATTGAAGAACTACCCTGATCCCACGCTGATCATGCAGCGCTACGGTTCTGATGCCCTTCGACTCTATTTGATCAACTCTCCCGTCGTGCGTGCCGAGCCGCTCAGATTCAAGGAATCTGGCGTGAAGGAGATCGTTGCCAAGGTTCTCCTTCCTTTGTGGAACAGCTACAAGTTCTTTGAGGGCCAGGCAGCTCTGTTCAAGAAGAACAACAGCGTTGACTTTGTCTTCGACCCCAAGGCTGAAACCACCAACACCAACGTGATGGACCGCTGGATCCTGGCCAGCTGCCAAAGTTTACTGAAGTTCGTAAACGAGGAGATGGCTGGATACCGTTTGTACACAGTAGTTCCTCGGTTACTCGAGTTGATTGACAACACAACCAACTGGTACATTAGATTCAACCGCAAGCGTCTTAAGGGCGAGAACGGCATTGATGATACTCTGCATGCGCTGAACACCCTCTTCGAGGTTCTCTATACCCTAGTCAGAGGTCTTGCTCCCTTCACACCATTTATCACCGACACCATTTACCAGAAGCTGCTTCCCCACATCCCCGAGGCGCTCCGTGGCGAAGACAGCCGGAGTGTCCACTTCCTTCCCTTCCCCGAGGTGCGCGAGGAACTGTTCGATGAGGTTGTCGAGAGACGGGTGGCACGGATGCAGAAGGTCATCGAGATGGCCCGTGTCTCCCGTGAGCGCCGTTCCATCGGCTTGAAGTCGCCTCTGAAGACTTTGGTTGTGATTCACCAGGATCAGCAATACTTGGACGATGTGAAGTCCTTGGAAGGCTACATCCTGGAGGAGTTGAACGTCCTTGACCTTGTCTTGTCGTCCGACGAGGCCAAGTACAATGTTCAGTACAGCGTTAGTGCCGATTGGCCTACTCTGGGCAAGAAGCTGAAGAAGGACGCCCAGAAGGTCAAGAAGGCATTGCCATCCCTCACAAGTGATGACGTGAAGAAGTTTGTTGCTGAAAAGAAGATTCTTGTTGACGGCATCGAGCTCGTCGAGGGTGACCTTGTCGTGAAGCGTGGTCTCAAGGAGGATGTTGCATCTGAGGGAATGGAACCTAATGCTGATGCTGATGTGCTGACTATCCTTGACGCCAACCTATACCCCGAATTGGCCCAACAAGGATTAGGTCGAGAGATCATCAACCGTCTTCAGCGTCTGCGTAAGAAGGCCGGTTTGGTCCCTACCGATGATGTGAGAATGGAATATGCCGTTCTCTCTGATCCCGAGAGTGTCGGTATCAACGAGGCTTTCGAGACGCAAGCCAAGGCCATTGAAAAGGCTGTCCGCAGGCCCCTGCAACAGGTTGCCGTGAATGATGGCAAGGTCCCCAGCGGTGACAAGGAGGCTCTTATCATGGAGGAGGAGCAGGAAGTTCAAAAGGCAACTTTCCTGTTGCGGTTGCTCAAGTTGTAGCTTCAGGCCAATCTGTATTGAGATACGCTGCACGAAAATAGTTAAGATCTTACATTTGTCTAGAGATAAATTATGTTTACGAATTTCTTGGTTCTATCATGAATCGTAGCAGTCACTTCTTCAGTCTCCAGGAAGCCCCCTCTGTACGTCTGGCCTGGTGCAATTTCCCCGACAAATATTTTGACCTCGACAACCTCATACCTTCTTGGATGCCGCCTATTAACTTCATCAGTAAGCTGCATCAACCATAGCTTCTGAACAGCATACCAAAAAGCAATCTTTTAGCTTCATAAACTCCTTAGCACACATGTCCTTGTGCACTGCATTGTAGTCAGCAACAATGCATTTGCCGTATGTGGCTGCCTGAGGACTAATTAGCTTGCATACCAACAGTAAGAGCAATGCGGCGAACATGAACATACCTCTGCAGAGCACTTAGAAGCAGCTTTTGCAAACTTCTCAATAGGCCTGACCCTTGTTGATGGCATTTTTGGTGTGAATACTGCAACTGATGTCTCTGCAGCTTCTCTCACCTCGTGATGCAATTCAGAGCCATGGGCTGGCCCCAGGGCAACGCATTACATAAGCGGTGCCAATCACATGACGTACGCATTCCCATCTGCGCGACACGAACAAAACAATTCGGTCTGGGGACAAAGCTGGGGTGCTCTGTGTCTTTGTCTCGACGCTCTGCATAGTTTGGACATACTATTTTTCTGGATTTCTTGGATTTTGGGTTTCGAGCATCGGATCACTGCGGATCTTTGTTCTACCGTCACCTTTGCGTCCCGCAATGCATGATTTGGTTTTCCGCCTCCATGACCGATCTGCGAAAAACGCGCCTTAGGTCGCGGACTTTTCGATGCCTCCGAAACCCCCTCAGCGTAAAGCTTTATCCTTTGAAAACCCGTCACTTTCAGACGAAGGTAGGCAACTTCGATCACTGACATGTCGCGATTCTGCGACTCGAGTTCTTTGTCTAATCTCTGCCTTACTTGTGTATAGATGTCGGCCTCTTGTATCAGATCGTTATCCGCGCGGAGCTGGATCCGGATGCCAACCTACTTCCCTTCAGGGCGTTGTTCAAAGCGTACGATGAGGTCATTACAGAGCATGAAGTGGACGCGGATCCAGGCCATGCCTGTCTGCGCTTCCTCTTCAAGATGGGAAGCAAAGAAGTCGTAGGCGATTCTCTCTTCGAGAAATTTGAGAATCTTCTTCGCCAAATGGGTATCGTCATTGAATTTGGAGGCGATGATACCTTCACCGAGACGAATGATACGTATGAGGACAAAGAACCCTCAATTGAAGGGTTGCGCAATAGGAGGGTCGATCGCGATACGACATCAAGAGAGGATACCACGCAGACAAGGCGCCGTAGGCGAGCATCCTTCAACTCTATGTATGATGTGGGTGAAGATATTACGCAAAGAAGCTTCGTCAACCGCCCGAGCTCGCGTTCTTCCATGTCGCGTTTGCAGACAGGGAAGACTGAATTCCCTGAGCCGACACCGGTCCGGGCCGAGAAACAACGGACCTCTCCTGACAGGACTCAATTGATGGCTCAATTTGTGGACGTGGGGCGTAAGTTGATGCGCCGAATGGAAGAGCTGGCTTCTAAGGAGGAGAGGCGGGATAATACACCAACTTTTGTTGGCAAAGATGCCAGATCTGCGGTTGACCGAGATCGTTCTGAGAGAATGGCAGAAGCTTCGCGATCGAGGTCACGGTCCCGGGCTGCCCGCGCCGCAAGCTCCATAGCCTCGGATGAAGACAGTGAGGGGTCCACTACATTCTCGCAGGAGGACGCGTACAACTCTTTCGAGAAAAAGGAGGTACCCCCAGAAATGCTCTATAGACCATCACTCTCCGATTTGCTGCGCGATGCTTCGACATTCAATATGTATCGTCAGCGCGCAATCGCTCGGCGCATTCTGACGCAGTGGTTGAAGAAGGCGGTCCAGACGCAACAGAGTCACCGAAATATGGAAGTGGTCGCGGTCAATCGCGACAGGATAACCCTCCTACGGCAAGCTTTTGAGACGTGGCGTACAATTATCCAAGATAAACGCCGGGTTGCTCAGACGGAGAGATTTTTTGAACATCTCGAAGAGCGCGCTGGACGCGCCAGAGATCTATATCTTATGACCAAAGCTTTCACGCATTGGGCGCAAATCGCCTCTGACGAAGTTGCAAAAACGTCAGCTGCCCGACGACATATTCTCCGTGTCAAGTATTTCAACGCTTGGCGTGAAATCACAGCTGTCAATGAGCTGAAAGCTCAGCGATTCGCGCTGCGAAGACCGTTTAATATCTGGCGAAGCAAGGCTCGAGAAGCGAAGGAAATGGAGCAAAAAGCAGTGGCTGTCCATAACAAAAAACTGACACATGCGGTCTACTGGCAATGGTTCTGGAGTTTCTGTGATCGGCGGGCCCCCCAGTGGTACGATCATCGCCTCAAGCGACGTTCCTTGCTTTACTGGCTGCGAAAGTTCCGCATGAATAGGGAGCGTATTCAAGAGATAGACGCGAAGAATAAGCATACTGCTACTACGACCGCTTGGCAGCTATGGTATCAGAGATCCAAAGCCGTTGTTGCCGCAGAAAAAGCCGCTATATCCATGGATCGCAAGCAAGTCCTGCAGGAAAAGCTCGAGGAATGGAGAGTCGAGGCTCGATTACGCCCAATTGCCTCTCGTGTCTCCGTGACGATAGATAAAAATATTACCCAAACGGCATTCTCGCAATGGGCCAAACGGCTCCGAATGCTCAGAGAAGCGAAAGAGGTGGATCGACTGAGGGTTATGCGCAATTCATGGACTGCTTGGAATGATCTACTTCGATGTCAGGCTCTGACCGCGCGGATAGAAGAGCGCATGAAGATGGAAATCATGTACAAATGGATTCTCGCAGAACGATTTCGGTTGATGCAAAGGATTCGCGATCAACGAATCACGCGCGATGTGTTCGCTAGGTTTGTGACAAACGTGCGTGACACTTATACACGTCTCTTGCACCATGCCGATGTACATGAGGAGTACCGCAACGAAGAGCTTCTCCGATCAAAGTTCATCTGTTGGCGGGAACAGCTTGCGCTTCAGCGCCAACGCGAAGTGGCTGCGGCTGAATTCTATGCCCCACGCCTTCAGCAGGAATCGCTCGTGGCCTGGTACTCGAAACACGGACACATGACGAAATTGGAGGGGTGGGCTAGCGACGCACGGTATTACTTCCTAGCGACCAAAACGATCAAAAAGTGGCACAAGGCTACATTGGACTCTGCCAAGCGCCGTCGTCAGGAAGCCTATGCCAAGATGCGGCGAAAGATCAAGATTAATCTTGCTCTCAAAGCGCTAACGCACTGGCATTTGAGAGCTCAGGATGTAGCAGAATTGGAGCAGCAAGCGATTGCCCTTTGTCGGGGCAAGACTTTGGTTATCGCAGCTGAATATGTGCAGACATGGCGCGAGTCGACAGATAAAAGAGTACAGGACTGCGACGAAGCAGAGGTCTTGTACGCCCGCCAGATTGCTCGAGGCCAACTGACGCGCTGGAGGGAATCATGCGCCAAGTATCGCGACTTGAAGCAACAAGCGAATGACGTGTATCGCCTGCACGGCTTGGGTCGCGCAAACGGCCAGCTTCGCAAACTCAGCCTTCGTATCTTTCAAATCAGAAGCTCTTTCGAGACTGCAAATTCCATGCGCGAACGCAATTTGAGAAAACATGCAAGAAGCATGTTCCGTCATTGGTTAGAGAAGGCCAGGATGAGACTGGAAGCGCGAGACATTCCGGGTCCATTGAAGACTCCTGCAAGAGCTTTTGACGGTGCACTCACGAACGGGACCGACGAGGCGATTTTTGATCCTTGGTATCAAACTGAGACTCCATTCAAGCTCAGCGATTTCGGTACTGAGTCCCAAGTTCGCTCAGCAACTCCGCTTACCACCCCTAACTACATGATCTCCCCGTCCAAGCGAGCCGCGCGAGCCAAAGCGCTCACGCAAATTTCTACAACCCCTGCGACACCTCTGTATACGCCGTTTGCCAGTCGATTGTTGCGTGCCGAGGCTATGGGCACGCGGACTGGTTCAAGCTTCCGGAATCGCAATGGCCGGGGCAACGGCTTAGGCACAAGTGTGCGATTTGTCGATCAAGCTCCTGAGTCGCCGACTGACGGTCGAGGCTCGGGCAATCGACGTCCTTGAGATATTATCTGCTTCTGGAGAACTTGGGGCTTTTGTTCGTGTATATGCTTTCTGTTTTGATTCTTCTCGCGATTGGAGCATTGGATGAACATATCGATACCTTGTTGCATGTTTTCGTGGCGTGTGGTCAAGTGCATCATGGGTTTTTGGGTATTTATATCGACGTAAGCCACTGTTGATTTTGGATATATGCACTATGAGTGAGTGATAGACGCGACAGCGATTCTGTGATGAGTGACGCAATTAGGTGCAGACGGTGTTTTATCTGCTTCTTGGATATTCTGGATGCTCTTTAAGTAGTAGCGTGAAATCAATACTGCAGCAAAGCTTAGTCCGCCATACCACAATTTGCCTAGAGATAATACTATTCCCCTTTGTAAAGATTAGGTCAACATTGATCGCATGCTCTGGTCACACGGCGGGAGTGTCTATGGGTGGAGCAAGAACAGATAGCGGAAACAGCGTGATTGACATCAACATCTCACACCTCCGGACGGAGTATATTGTCTGTCTTCCCCCACAAGTTCGGAAATCAGCATATCTGATTTTTTCATCGACAATTCTTGCACATTCTTCGACTAAACTTCTCGTCATCACGTGTCTACTACTGGCAATGGTGTAGCACCACCGAGCGCAACAAGCGTCCAACTCGATCAACGACCGCCTCTATGCGAGCGGTGCTACCAGGGAGACCCCCAGCGAAGCTCCAGTCTTTCAGCACAGCGCTGTGGGACGGTCTCCGCGTGGTTGTAAGCAAATATCCCTGTGGTTCTTGAGGCTATATTATCCTTC